ATCCATGCACATTTACTTATATATTTATTAATGTATGAATATGCGGATGTAGTTTATTTATTTATTTCCGGTTTTGTCCTCCAAAACCGAGAACAGTCTATTTCAGACATTTCTGATTCATAATAAATTGAGAACTGAGAAGTGCTCTGATAGTATAAGAAATCTGTACTGAACCAAACTTTTGAATGATGGGATGAAAAGATGTTAATTTTATAGCAGAAATGCTACAAATAAAGCACAATGGTAGTATGTTTATTTGATCAAATCTAAGCTATAGGCCTATATATTAAGGAGTTTAAGTTGGCATGAAACCAAATATTTGTCACATTATGAAAAATATAAATTTAGTCTGTTTACCCACCATGTGCCTTCTACTATTATCCATCCATTCAGTCTATATATATCAGCTCCTGATTGAGGATTTTTTTAGCTCTATTATAACGATTCACATGCTAACTGTTCCCCTGCCAGCTCATTGGAACGAATGAAACTTTATCCCTTCTGATCCAAGGCTGATCTCATCCTTCTGAAGACATTTCTCGCCCACAGACCCCCGACTCAAGAGGGAATACAGAGCGTTCATGCAGTACTTCATCTAAGCTCTATTCATGCCCTGCACTGAATAAAGCTTCTGTCTGGTTGATCCATTTGCATGTTGAACTGTATGTCTTATTTACTGAGTGTCTTCTGGTAACAAGTTCTGACAATGATCAGACATTAATGGATCTCATATGACAACAAGAATGACTTATTTTTTCTATGAAATTACATGTAAAACTTCCTGAAATGCAAAGATCTGGAATAATAAAAACATTTTTCTTCAGTGCCAGTTCTGTTGTATGATGTATCACCCAATGACTGCTGAACAGCTATTTCTTGTTCTAATGTGATGATTCATGCTGATCAAACATTTTTGCTAAAAGCATCTTACTGCCAGCTGACCCTCTGTACTGCTTCAGGCCAGTAAAATGCAGTACAGGATACAGGGCTATTTTGGAGGATGAATTATTCCACTGGTAAAGCAAAGCATATTTAATATGACGTCACAGTTTGGGAGGGAGGGAGTGGAGGACGGGTTAAAGGTTGGTTTCTTGTGGCTGTTGGGCACCAAGTTACTGTCAGGTCTGATCAGTCTCCTCCACTTTTACTGGTTAGAAAAAAAGTGAACCCAACCTGGAGGCCAGAGATGGGGCCTCTCTACTGTTCCTTCATTCAAAACATTCATGCTGGACAGACAGAGATATTTTGCTCCCTCAAACCATGCTGAATACAGTCTTATTGTGGAGTCACTGGCTTGCCAATCAAACATGTTCTGAATTACTTGAGAAACATTTCTTATCAATGTTAATATAACGCCCTAATATGAGAGTATATGATTTTAAACATGCAAAAAATGCTATTTAATTTAGTGAAAACCGTTTGATGAGAAAAAAATACTGAGTGCACCGTTAAAGTGACAAATTCAGAAATATGAAAAATGAAAAGAAATTTGTTTGTTTGTCTTTTTGTCGACTGTAAACTATAAAAAATGTATGTTTTATTGGGATTTAAGGTGAACATATATTTCATGAAAAACTCCTTCTGGCCATGGATTCACTACATGAAGCATTGAAACTCTGAGTGTCAAGATTCCAGTCAGCACTTTCCTCTTTCCTCTTTTCAGATATCGCTAAACTTCCTTGGGATTAAAGACCTCTCGGGACTCCAGTTTGCGGTAAATATCACAGCCAGTGACTTAAATGGTTTAGAAAAGTGAGGACATTATAATCACACCTTAAACTGGTCACATGCCAGACAACATTTCTATTTCTTCTAAGTT